TACTTGCATATGATATTGTTCTATACTTTCCACATTCTTTTGTGTCACCTCTCTTTGGAATGGACATAAATATGGATCTCGCTGGCCAAGTAGCTCTTGTCCAAATTTCTTGGCATAGACTAGTGAGTGCTCCCAAGGCTGCATCAGTTTGTTGAAACATTTCAATTGGTATTCTGTCAATTCTTGAGTCTTGTTTTTCACCAATGACTTTAGTGCAGCTTGAACTTCTTTCTTTAGTACTATTGGTACCTTACCATATGCTACTTCTTGAAATGGTTAAACATTGACCAATTCTTTTTAGTATAATGATTCTGTATATTACTTCCATCTTCTTTTAACTCTTTGGGTATTGTTCAATATTTTGCTTATCACACTGTAGAATTATTCCTTATGATGCTAAAATTTGAAATCCTCTCAGCAATGATTTTGTTGTTGTTGTTGTCATAAGACATTTGTTGTGGTAGTTGTTAAATGCCATTGAGTTGGTTTTGACTCATAGCAACCTTGTGTAGGGCTTCCGAGGAGCAGCTGGTGGGTTTGAACTGCTGGGGCAGTAAACTTATTTTGGAAATTTCAGGGCTAGTTAAAAGCCAGAAAAAGGAGATGGTAAACAGGGAGTTAATGCTTGATGAGAGAAAGTCAAGGAACTAAAAGTCAGAAGGGGGATTCAATTCAGAGATCAGTATCAATAATCTCACTAATATCTTTATCGAAGTGGCAGCTTCAATAGGCTCAAGTATGACAATTGTGAGGTTGGCCTAGGACCGGCAGTGTTTCATTCTATTGTGCATAGGGTTGCTGTGAGTCGGTATTGACTTGGTGGCACCTAACAACAACAACATTCATCAAAAGAAAACGGCAGCATTCACCCAAGTGAGTCTTTCACTGTATACTGTATTGCTTGAGCTCTGGATGAACTCCATGCCTGGCACCTACGAGAGACTCAATTGTTGTTGTTAAGTGCTATTGAGTCAGTTCCAACTCATAGTGACTATGTATAGGGAAGGAGCAGTCAGTGAGCTTAAGCCGCTCTCACCTTTTGGTTCAAACTGACCTTGCAGTCCAGTGCATTAACCCACAGGGCCACACCAGAGACTCAGTGTATTGAAAATTTAAAAAAAAAATAAGCAAACATGATCTTTTAATGGCAGTGATGAAATTTAACTGGATATAGTACTCAATGAGAAGTACTATTCAAGAAAGCATTATTTATTCTTTTTTTTTTTTAAGCAGAGTTTCAGATTTTATTAAGCCATCTGACTCAGAGGAGCTAGTTTCTCCAGATTCTGAGCCCTGAATGGAGGGCAAGATGGGCCTATGTGGGGTCAGAGTCAGGGAAGGGCCAGGCTGCATACCTGTTTGAGGGCAGGGGGGGAACCAGGAAGATTGGTCCCATTCAGTAACCTGATTAGCATTCTTGTTTAACTCTTAGGTGGGGAAGATTGGTCCTGAACATTCAATAATTTGATTAGCATTTTAGATTGCCTCCTTGGGCAGAGAGGGTAGTGAATGATTTTTACTTTTCCCTGTTCATTCCCTGCTTTGATGCCCTACGGGACCTTTTTCCCAGGGGCATCATCTAAATGTTGCCTAAGGAATGGTATTTTGGTATTGATTTGGATTGTTGCTACCCTTTTCGATTGATTATTGTTTAATGGTTGTTCCCATGGCCCTGATTGCTAGTGGGAGTAGGCATGGAGTGATTAAATAAATTCCAAATAAAACAGTACTCCACCCACAAGGGCCTTGAACCCTTTAAAAGTGAAGAATTACCCTCCCCATAGGCTCTGTCGGTTCCACCCATTCCAGGTTTGCACAGGGACATGGACAACTTTCTGCATTTTTACAAGGTCTTGTAGCGTAGTGGTTACTAATTGGGCTGCGAACCTCAGGGACAGCAGTTTGAAACTACCAGCTGTTCCGCTGGAGAAAGATGAGGTTTCTGCTCCCGTAAAGATTTACAGCCTCGGAAACCCTGTACATGGTCGCTATGGGTGGGAACTGACTCCACGGCACATAACAACAACAACTTGTAAGCAGCAGTTAGCAAAATTAACCTTCTCATTTACCCCTCCTCCCTCCGCAGGACATTTTGTATCTGGGTCTGTTGATGTGCAAGAGGGGTTAGGACAACCCCAGTTCCATTGGATATAGATTCAGTTGCCCAGGAGGGTGCCCTCACTTTTATAGCAACTGTAGAAGAGTAGTGTGGTTACTGTTTGGCCCACCTTGGTAGTGGTGTGGGTGTATAGATTACACAGATTTCTTCCTTTCCCACACCTCAAAGTC